TGAATGAACGAATGACCGATCTGGCAACACCATATTCTGAGAATGTAATCATGTGTATTTCTAACAGCGAACGAATTTCAGACGCCCACAGTCTCTGCATACCGTCATGTACCATACGATAAATAAGCTTCAACAAGCGATAGTATTGTATGAGGTCGCGACAAGGACTTTTACACTGCTAAAATGCATGGTGCAGAAAATGTATTACACTGCTAGAACGCATGGTGCAGAAAATGTATGAATTTCGGGATTTTTTTTTTGAATGAGTGTAAAAATTTTTTACAGATATTAAAATCTGTAAAGTAGAATATCTGATTCTATATTCTTTCTACATTAAAGGAGCGTTGATTTCGTTCGTTTATCATAAAAATGTAGAAATTACACCACTTTTAGAAACATGCTTACAATTCCATTGCCCTAGAAGGGCGAGCATTTAAATAAACTCCGTCCAGCTGCCCCTACCAGAAATTAAATGGCCCGTCCAATAAAGGTTAAGGCAATCATTGTCACTTCTGTAAAGTCCTTGGGCCACTCTCCACTTTCATATATGGTGTTCATTAGTTTTGTCAGTGTTTTCAAACCACCTTCTCCCAGCAACTTGAGCACATCTCCAGGTACATCATCATTTCATGTAGCCTTTCCCTTCCACATTTCCTTGATAGCTTTTTCCACCTCACTTTGTAAAATATATGGTCCTTTCCTGTCTGTATCTACTTCTTCTTTTGGTTCAACTTCTAAGGTTTCTGGCCGATTAGGTGGATCATATAGTTCTATGGGTCTTATATTTGAAGTAATACGGTATTAACTTTTGCCCTCATAATCCAGAGCTGTGTTTTAAGAGTACTGTGGCTGTCTGATATTATTAACCCACTTCCTTCTTGTGCACTTTTCCAGTCATGTGTATTAAAATATAATTGCATCGTTAGATTGAGACATCTTTCTGCTACATGTAAGGCTATTGGTTCAAAGCCTTTATTATTGGGTGGTGCTGATTTTTCCCAAACACGTATTGATGCTCTCCTAGAGTTGCTGTGTTTTCTATTTTGTGTAACTGCATTGCATACTGTGAGAGGCATGTAGAATTTCATCTCCAGTTAAACAGTTTATTTGCTGTAACCCGGTAAAAGCCCAACATAAAAACTTGTAAATTGCAGTGTGAATGTGAAAGAGTAAGAAATGCTGATATGCTGCAGAAACTGATGGAGAAAAGGGTTATTGTTTCAGCAATTTTCATATGTTAACAGAACAAACTTCTTTCAGGAGCGCCTGATAAAGAAGCTGGGACCAAATGCATACCCATTCTACTTTGAGCTACCTCCCCACTGTCCAGCCTCCGTCACTCTCCAGCCAGCACCGGGAGACACCGGTAAACCCTGTGGTGTGGACTATGAGCTGAAGGCATTTGTTGGTGAAACACAGGATGACAAACCTCACAAAAGGTAAATATTCTATCATTTATTGGCTGATATTATTTGTACAAACAGATGGGTGGGTTATTAGAAACATTCAGTAAATACATGTTGTCATTTAGTTCAAAAACTGTTATCCTTTTGCTTTCCAAAATGTAAAGATTGAAATACAGTGATTTTAATGTTGGTTTTGTATGGTTGTGAATCATAGCCACCAACTTCAAATGATAAATATATGATACAAGCATTTGAAAACAGAATGTTCAGAAAATATTGTGACACATAGACCCATTGCTAGGCAACACCCACAACACGCATGCAGCCAACAATACAGGAGCAGTGTTTTTGTGGTCTGCTCATAGACTTTTGTGATACAACACACGCTAAGGACATCCTCACATACACAGTGAGATCACACAACAATAGAGGCAGTGCTTTCTGCTGTGGTTCATTCCAAATGGATATAAAGGACAACAGAAGAGGTGTCTCCCATCCTGTCTCTCTTAAGATCCATTTTAATATTGTCCACCCACCTATGCCCTGGTCTTCCCAGTGGTCTCACCTTCTGGCTTTCCCACCAATATCCTATATGCATCCCTTGTCTCCCCCATTCATGCTACATGCCCTGCCCACCTCATCCTCCTTGACTTGATCATTCTAATTATACTTGGAGAAGACTACAAGTTATGAAGCTCCTCATTATGCATTTTCCTCCAACTTCCTGTCACTTCATTTCTCTTCATTCCAAATATTCTCCTCAACACCCTGTTCTCAAACACTCTCAGTCTGTGTTCCTCCCTTAATGTCAGAGACCAAGTTTCACACCCATACAGAACCACAGGCAAAATTATAGTTTTGTATATTCTGATTTTTATGTTTTTGGACAGAAGACGAGAAGACAAAAGGTTCTGGACTGAATTACCTGAGTTCAATCTCCTCTTAATTTTCTCCTGAATCAGGTTTTGGTTTGTTATCGTCGTTCCCAAATATCTGAAGTGTGCCACATTTTCAAATCATCTGTTTCCTATCTTTATGTCATGATTTTGCCCTGCAATTTGGTGACGAGACAGTAACATATACTTTGTTCTATCTGTGTTTGCTTCTAGACCAACCTCCTTATTTGCGTCATTTAAAGTTTGTGTGTTTTTCTTTATGGTATCTACATTATCACCCAGTAGATTCACATCATCGGCAGAGGCCAACAGCTGATGTGTCCCGTTTAATTTCTGTCCCACCTGGTTTCCCTGGACCTTCCTAATGGCATATTCTAAAGCAAAGTTGAAAAGGAGTGGCGATAAAGCATCTCCTTGTTTTAGACCATTCTTGATAGGAAATTTACCTACACAGACTTTACTATAAGTTTCGTTTAAACACATTTTAATCAACCTAACTAATTTCATGGGTATCCCAAACTCTTATCAGAATATTGTACAATACTTCCTAACTGAATCATAGGCTTTCTTGAAGTCTATGAATAGCTGATGTACTGTCTTATCATACTCCCATTTTTCTCCAATATCTAATGAATGCAAAAGATCTGATCTGTAGTTGATCTGTTATGTCAAAACCCACACTGATGATCCCCAATAATTTCATCTATATATGGATTTAACCTTGAGAGAAGAATATTGGATAATATTTTGTATTAACCCTTCCGCG